TAGAATTGCTTAGTCGTCATTTTCAACTTCTTTAGCATATTCGTCTGGAGTTGTCTTATATTTGTTAGGAACTGTCTTTGAAAGTATACCACCTTGAACCTTAACAAGTTTGAAACGAGGTCTGACAATAGTAGTTTTATCTTCTGCTTGCAGTTTGTACATTTTGCCATGTTTGCCTAAAACTTCATAATATTCTCTTGTATACTTTCTTCTATTTTTACGAACACGAATGCGAGTACCTGTCGAGTTCCCATTGTTGTCATAGTCAATAGTATTTTCATATGGGTCGCGTTTAGGTATTTCTATTTTTACTTTGTCACCTTTCTTAAGTTTGAAGCCTGGCATTCTTTCTTGTTTGTCTCTTTTGACTAAACTATTAAATATATAGTCTTTCTCTAAGTCGGGGTTGTTTTTCATTTCTTCGGGGGAGTGGTTTCCCAAACCTTTTTGTTTACGGCTATTGTAAATATTTAAAACTTGTCTCATCTTTGCCATGGAGAAGTGTCTATATTTGTCGTCATATGACATTTCATCTACCTCACCACCTTGTGGTTGATTTAAGTCTCTTAAGATTTTTATACAACTGTCAATGACACCAAGAGCAGAATGGTTTTGGTCGACAATGAAATATTGGTTTACATTTTTTGAACGCAGATAGTTTTTAATATCGTCTGATTTGAAAGAACTTTCACAGTCAGATGTCAGTTTTGTTGGATGGTATTTGTCAACGAATATTGTCAAAGCAGTTTTCACATCTAAAATATTTTTGGACTGTAATGGTATGGCTTCACAGTATCTTGTGTTTTGACCGACAAATATTAGCCAGTATGGTGGTCCATCTTCTCTATATCTCGGAATGTTTTCCAAGATATCCATAAACCAAGCATTTGGTGTTGAACTAAAGATTTTTACCATGAGCGCTTTCTTTGTTGCCTTAGAAACATAGGGGTCCTTGTTTGGATTCGTCATTTTTTAACCCATAAGAAATGGGTTTATTTGGCGCATTAGCAGGAGTTGCATCCAGATTTTTGCCCGCAGTGGGAACAATAGCCAGAGGTGTATTTGGAGTTGGAAGGAAGATTTTGAGTACATTAGGTATACTGAAAGAGAAAGCTCAGCCTATTATACAAACTGTACAGAAAGGTTGGGAGGTAGCACGAGATGCAGCAAATCTTATTCCAAATCCTGAAACAAGAGGAAAAGTTCAAGGATGGATGGACAATGTAGGAAGAGAAGCAGGAAACTACTATAACAAAGCAAATGACTACTATAACCAAGCAGGACACTATATGGACCAAGGTGAAAGATTCTTTAACAGAGGATATAACCATGCACAACAGTGGGTAAACAACAACCAACCGCAACCGCCTCAAACGTGGGGAATGTAAATTTTTTTACTGAGATGAAATGAACAATACAGCATTGAGACAAATGGGTTCAAGATGGATTTGTCGACTTCCAGCAGTTACACAACCACGTGTTTGTCAAGTTCTTCCTATACCTCAGGAAGTTTTAGACCGACTTAAAAAACCTAAACAACCAGTTGAAAACAAACCAAACTAAAATTTTTACTGAGATGAAATGACCGAAGAAGTTGAAACGGTAGATTTGACACCACAAACAAAAAGTTCAGAACCATTGTCAAAACCTGTCAAAGAACTTACAGATGAAGAGAAAAATTCAATAATAGAAAGTGCCAGGTCTGGAAATACAAACCCTAACTACAAAGTCACTTTTCATAGAAATGGAACGGCTAGTATCTCAAAAAAGAAACAGACTCTCACAAATAAAATATTGAAGTCTGAAGGAGTTAAAGAGACAACAGATGGAAAAGTATATTTTACCGACGAACAGTTCATTATAGAACATCTCATTGACTTAGAGTCGAAATATTCTAAACTTTACAACAAACACAAAAAGTTGAAAGGAAAACAAAAACAAATGGCATATGATATTTATGAAGATGTTGACGACACAACCATACCTGCAAGTGAAGTAAAGTCAGATGAACCGAAAAGTGGCGAAAAACCAATAGAAGAAGAAAAACCAAAAACTGAAGATAAACCAAAACCAAAGGTTAGTCTCCAGACTAAACCAAGTCAACCTTCATTAGCTGGTATGGGTTGGCGTCAAAGACTTTTGGCAGCTGGTGGTTATGTAAAGTAAAGAAAAAAATATTTTTTTATTTTATTTGAAATGCCCCCATATAGAATGGATAGAAAGTCTGCTAGAATAAAAGCAGAGTTAGAAAGATATGGTTGGAGAGTTTCGAAGAAGTTTAAATATAGGAAGGGAAGACCCATAAAAGTCTATGACAAATTGTCTGGTCTTCGCTACGAAATGGATTTGGAAACAGCACGTGCAAATTATCCAAACAGACTAGAGAGGTTAGAAGAAGAACGTCTTATGGACATGCCTTTCGATGTTAATGAACCGCAAGTTGAAGGACACGACGGCTTTGCCAGATTCTACTGGAAACATGACGAACAATTGCATCCCTTGAGACGGAAAAAAGGTAGTGCAGAGGATGGTCATGCTCCCATGGAAAGAACAAGATATGCATATGAAAAGTATCGCGAAGTTAGAAGTCAAATTGGTTCAGGTCGAACCTTTACAGTAAACTTTGACGAAGGAAAGAACAAAGAAGGCTTCATGGGAGTACTTGCTGCCATTCAAGACGGAAATAAGAAAGGATACAATCTCAGATTGACCATAACAGATTTGGACGGTCATATATACTATGCGCATGGCAATGTCACAACAGCTGCAATGCTTCTTGACGCTTTCAAGACTACAAAGAGAGAACAAATGGTTGACTCCGACTCAGACATTTTGAATGCAATTGAAGGAATTGCAAGTGTCAAGTTCGAATGGTACCAACCTAACCCTCAAGCAGTCAGACAACATGTTTGTTAGATGAGAAATATGAAATTGCATGAAGTAAAAACATTTTTTAAAACAGTATATTTTTACATATATTAAATGTTTCAGGTTGAAAAACAAAGAACAAAAGTAGCAGATACAAAACCGTTAGACTATATCTTTACAAACGCTGGTAGGACTATTTCAGATGAAGAAATTTCATCCGGTGCTTACAGGTTTGACTTTCCAATTCGTTGGCTTCAAAGTCCTTCAGATGCAAAGGCAATAGGATTTAGAAGAGTTTTGTTTTCAAATAGAACTAACGCGTTTATGTTTGCAGTATATTTTCATGGGCAGTATAGAGGTTCTGATGGTCTAATAGACAAATTTGACGAAATGAGAATCTTTACAATTCGTTCAGACGAAAACCTTGAGAAGACTCTAAATGACTTTCAAACTCAAATAAACAAATATTATTGGGAATTGCAAGAAAAATACGACTCTCTACTAAACGGAACTTACTATCTGAAACTAGAATATGACAAGATGAACTCCACAGTTTCATTTCAAAGGATTGAAAATAACCCTCGAAGAAGTACAGAGTTTTTATTTTGGGAAGTAGACAAACGTTCTTGGGCACAATTTCTTCGGTTACTAAACCAGAACGAACCATTACCACCTGACGGTCCGTTTAAATTTATACGCCCACCAACAGATTTGACAGTTTATAGAAACGTGTTTGACCCTCAAAATGTCATGTGTCATGCAAGTTTCAGTTCAAGCAACAATAGTTTTCTATGTATTGGTAAGGACTTTTATGACTTTGCTTCTAAATTCTACGAACCACCTAGTAACAGTTTCTCTGACTTTCAAGTCTGGTTCACAACAAATGGTGTGCAGCATATAATACCATTGTACTATGACTTTTATCTCGAATTGTCTTTCATATACAACTACGGAAAAGTGCTGAAAAAGTATTGAAAAATATATTTTAGGTGAAGAGGTGAGATTTCACCTCTTTTTTCACCTGTTTTTTCACCTCTTGAATTTTCATGAAATTTGTGCTGAATTCGACAAAAATGAGTTTTGGTTGAAAAAAGAGGTGGAGCCAAAAGTGGCTCGACCTCAAAACAAGCATTTTGTGAAGAATATACCAACCCGCGGAAAACAGCGGGTTACTTTTTATACAAAATTCAACAGGTGAATTTTCATGAATTTCCTTAAGATAGAAAAAAATAAAACTAACTTTATTTTTTTAAGTTTGGTCATCCTTCACTGTATGACAAATATACTATATTTTACTTAAAAATATGCAAGCGGCTCATAGCTCAGTGGTATGGGCTACCTCGTTAAAGGCGTCGAAGACCTCGGTTCAAATCCCGATTCGCCCAGGTTTTTTTCCTTTTATGCAGTGAAATTTCATGTACATAGGTTACTTTGGTGTTAGACCCTAGTGAAGAAAATAGAACGATAGGAGTTTACATTTGTAAAGTTGGACGATAAAAATCTCTGCTACTAGCAGTACTGCTACTGTCAGTAAAAGTACTGCTACTGTCAGTAAAAGTACTGCTACTGTCAGAAAAAGTACTGCTACTGTCAGTAAAAGTACTGCTACTGTCAGTAAAAGTACTGCTACTGTCAGTAAAAGTACTGCTAGTTGCAGTAAAAAGGAAAATTTGAGAGGGTTTTCGACGATAAAGTACTGCTACTGTCAGTAAAAGTACTGCTACTGTCAGTAAAAGTACTGCTACTGTCAGAAAAAGTACTGCTACTGTCAGTAAAAGTACTGCTACTGTCAGAAAAAGTACTGCTACTGTCAGTAGCAGTACTGCTAGTAGCAGAGATTTTTATCGTTGTGGTCCGACGGTTAAGCCACAAACGAATGTCCGACGTACCACTCAAAAATATTTTTTTATTTTTATTGTAAGAACAGTATGACAGTCGAAGCAAAAACGTTCACGAACAAATCTAATGGCGAAACATTCACAAAAGGCACTTACAACGGTATTGAAGTCTTACGTAGAGACAAGGATGGTTATATAAATGCAACAAAGATGTGTCAGCAGTTTAGGAAAGACTTTAGAAGGTTGTTGGAAAATAAGTCCTGGGAAGAGTATTTTGAGGCATTTTGTGAAGAATATACCAACCCGCGGAATTCCGCGGGTTGCTTTTTATACACAGTTCATGCAGGAATTCCTGATGAAATCAAACAGGTTAGAGGAACGTATGTAGACCCAAGACTTGTAAACTATATAGCAATGTGGGCTTCTCCAAAATATTGTATAGCAGTTGGAAAAATTTTGGATTCCATAGACAAGAAAGTTCATGAGAAGTTAGATGAAGAAGAACTTGAAGATACAGTAGAAAATGCTAAACCTTTGTTCGAAGAAGAAGTTAGAAAAATGCATGAAAAACAAATAGAACATGAACGTGAGATATGTTCTGGTTATAGAGACTCGCCATACGAACTAGACCAATGGGAACAAGAAGATTTAAAGAGAGAATTTAGAGAATATGAACTCGCTAAGATAGCATTAGAAGCTGCAGAAGAGAGGTTAAAAGCTTGGGGTTGTTTTGTACAAAAATATTGTGAGTAAATGAACCATTTTTTTCGACAAAAATATATTTTAGGTGAAGAGGTGAGATTTCACCTCTTTTTTCACCTCTTTTTTCACCTCATGAATTTTCCCGAAATAAAAAATAAAGTTGGTTTTTTTAAAAAAATATTTTTTTATTTTTATTGTAAGAACATGTTAGCAACAACAGCACCAAACTCTTTAGTCATGAACCCAACTTCAATGTTAGTAGAGATGAAAAGCTTCATTCCTTCTTCATATACTTTCGAAACAGAAATCCAGAAGATAAAGCAAGAACTTCTCCAAGGAGATTTAGATTGCACTGCGAAAGATGAAACAAATGAACAGTATCTTTATGAAATGCAGGATATTATTGACCATCTACCTAAACTTCCTGAAATCCAACAACAAAAACTCACTATTCCAGAATTCGATGAAATAGAAGTCAAAGCAACTGACTCAGTAGAAATAAAGAAGTTCATACGAAAGGTTAACTATGAGTTTCTTGGATTTCATTGCAACCACAAAGTCATGGACAAAGATTGCGATATGGTATATAAGAACATCTCTGACATATATAAATCTGGGGAGTTTAAGACCTACGACAACTTTGTTTCGTTAGTTGCAAAATGTGTTTGGGAAATAAGAGATAAAGATAGTAGGGGTAAGGTATGGAACGAACAAATAAAACCCGCTATGTTCGAGATGAAGAGAGCAATTGACGCCTTAGTTGTTTTAGCAGGTCAAATTTCAATGTATAACGCAAAAATGAACCCGCAATGTTCAAAATGTAAGGCAGCGATGAGGAAATATAACTACTCCGTCAAAGAGATAGAAAGAATGAGAAACGACTATGCAGATTTAAAGAAAGAAGCAGAAAAACCAGCAGAAGATAAAATGGACATGTTAGAATTTCTGAACAAAAACTATCCAACAGCAGAAGATTTCCTTCTTTCAGATGTCAAGAAGAAGTATAAAGAAACCTTCGGCATAGTTAAAACATTCGATGTACTAAAAGAAGAAATAGAAGCTACGAAATTGTTTAGGATTTCAAATATACATCATACAATTCATGTAAAACGCTTATAAAATAACTGAGGTGAAAAAACAGGTGAAAAAAGAGGTGAAATCTCACCTCTTCACCTAAAATATATTTTTGGGTCATTTACGCTCATTACGAAGAAGTTTTGACAAAACATTTACGATGAAATCATGAAAATTCATGAGGTGAAAAAACAGGTGAAAAAAGAGGTGAAATCTCACCTCTTCACCTAAAATATATTTTTATTGAATTCAGCAACAAAATTCATGAATTTCCTTAAGACAGAAAAAAAAAGTTAGTTTTTATTTTTTTTATTTTTTTTATTTTGTATGTAAGAACAGAAATGTTAAACATTGAGTTTGAAACAGTTAGAAAGATAGACAATGACACCAAAATGGTTAGAATTGGTGATTTAAACGTAAGATACTCAAAGAAATACAACAAATATTCTTTGTCAGACATTCTAACACTATCTGAAAAGAAAACATCCCACGACTGGGTTAGAAATGCTTCAACTCAGAAAATTTTGACAAGAAATCCTGAGCTTATGATATCGGTAAGATTCTATGGAACAAGAGCATATCTCATCGACAAAAGTCTTATACCAGTAGTTTTGTTCTGGATTGACCCAGTTGTTGGATATAACTTCATAACATATGGTTCATTCGATACTGAACGTTGCAGTGAAGGCTTACTTTACATCGTTCAGAAACCGAAGGACTTCAATACAAAGAGATATAAGATAGGAAGAACATTTAATATAACTCAAAGATATGACTCTACAGTCAATAGAGTTAAGGTTGCGTTTGTTAACGATATGAGAGCTGCTGAAACAGAACTACTTGAAAAGTTTGAGAAAATGTATGGTGCTCCCATAAAAGGTAAAGAAACGTTTGAAGTAGATGAGATAGATAAAGCTATAAAATTATTTGACGAAGTTGCTGAAAAATACATGTAAAGCGTTTATTTTTGGTCTTTTATACAAGATAGAAAATAACGCTAATTTTATTTTTTTTTTATTTTTTTATTTTGTATGTAAAGACAGATATGTCAACAACAGAGAACACAACAACTGCTATCGTTCATGAAGCCATAAGTGAAGAATACGAGTGGGTTCAGTTTAACAAACAGTTACGTCTCATTCGTTCGGTCAAAGATGACATGTACCAAATGCAAAGTATTTTGACAGCATGTTTTGCACCAGATACTAAGGTTCCTAAAGACTGGTTTAGGAACCAAAGCACTATTGAACTATTAAATGAAGCACAGCGAGACAGACTTTTTTCTGAAAATCGTGAAGAACAGCGAGTGGGAGAAAAACCCCAGTCGCCAAAACTCTATGAAAATCGTGAAAAATTGCGAGTGGGAGAAAAACCCCAGTCGCCAAAACTCTATGAAAATCGTGAAAATTTGCCAAATGGTTTGAGAGGTTGGTATGTACATAGACTTCTTGTAAATGCTGTTGCAATGTGGGCTTCACCTCGTTACGCTTGGTATATTTACAGACTTCTTGACGAACTTCATAGACAAGAACGTGAAGAGCTAGAGAACAAGCTTGAAGCAAAAGACAAAAACATACAGAAAAGAATACCACGTTCGGTACCAAAAGGAAAGGAAAAGAACTATAAGTATATGATTTACACTGAAGAGATGGAAAATGAAGAAGACAGAGATATGGTTATGTTGCATTTAGTCAGAAGAAACAACAAAAGCTTTTACGACCTTGCTAAGATTTACAAATCTGACAGAAATTGGTTCTATCGCGAAAACTTACCGATTTCAATGACACCAAATGAAGATGTTAAACAGATAGTTCAAGATACGTTACCTCAAACACACTATGATATGAAAGGTTGTACAATACTTACATTCAAAGAAGATTTGCCATTGTTAAAGGAAAAAATAACAGAGTATTTTGACAACTTCAAAGAGGAAGAGTAAATGAACTCTTTATTTTTCAAGCTTGACTTTTTACAATTTGAACTTTGTTTGCGTAGATATGAATTCTGAAAGAAGTATGAGGGTCTTGTATGACTTTGTACTTCTCCATAGTTCATGTCTGTCAAACTTACCTGCCATGGACTCTTTCATAAGTTCCATGAAATCGTCTTCGGACAATCCAGGGAAAAGTATGATATCAGTAAGTATTCTTTTAACATCCTTACTTAAACTCTTTGCTGTCTGTACACATATTACGACTGAGATGTTAAAGTGTCTGAGCTTCTTAAGAATTCGACACATGTCTTGTTCTCTATTCTTTAACAAAGGATGAGAAGCAAAGTCATCTAAGATAAGAAGACATCTGTGAGGGTAAGTCTTCCAATCGTAAGATTGCAATTTCTTCGAAATGTATTCTATCTCTTTCTGTTTGTTTCTGAAGTGTTTCTTCTCTAATATTCTCTGCATTTCCTCATTTGGGTCTTTAAACTTCGAATTGACATACTCATTTATAGCATTGTACTTCAAAACTCTTCTTTGGTACTTCTTTATCCAATCTAACAACTCAGAGTCTTTTATACATACTAACTTAGACTTCTTTATAATATCTTTGAACGAATTGACGGTTTGGTCAAATTGACCCGAAGTACTACAAATGACAACTAACTCATAGAATGGGTTCTTCTCATCTAGTTCTTGTTGTTGTGCAGCCATTTTAAGATAAGTGAAAGTCTTACCCGACCCAGGTGGTGCAATTAGACCTGTTATACCATTCTGAGCAAATAAGAACTTGTCATGTATGGGTTTTATCTGAGCATTTTCCAACTTCCTCTTGTTCTTCTTCAAAACATTCTCAAATTTCTTGTCAATGTCAGCAAACTTTTTTTCTAACATATTTTTAGAAAAATTAAAATTTTTATCTTTTAGAAAATGTCTAGCGATTTCGCTATCTATATTCGAGACAAGCTTTTCGACTCTAAAACTTCTGTCGACCATAAAATCTTACATAGTGTAAACAAGAAAGGTGAATTTGTTCTAAAGTTCTGTTTCTGGGAATATGACAAGAACCATAAAACATTACAAAGAGCAGTCTTAAAATTTGTCAATGACAGACTTGTTGACAGAGATGACGCCGATTGGAAAGATGAAGTCCAACAAAAGTTCTTAGAATGCAAAGAAGACACATGCGCTGTTCTTGAAGATGAAATAGAAAACAGAATAGAAGAGCTATTAAAGGACAAAGACCTTTTACATAAATATGGTTGCGCCAAATTTGACATAACTCCACCAGAGAAGAAGAAGAAGAGAGAAAAGAAAGAAAAGAAAGTAGAAGAAGAGAAGAAAGAACCTGAACCAGTTCCAGAGAAGGTGAGATATGACATGTAAAAATAAAATTTTATTTTTAGAACATTTCTGGGTCAATGTCAATGTTCTCTTCCTCTTTAGGAGCAAACACTGGCTTAGACTCTAAAATCTTTTTACCCAATTTACCTTGAACTTCAACTATCTTAGACTCATAATATTCATAGTCGTCTGCTTTCTTTGGTTCATAAGGTATAACAAGTTTGTATGCTTTGCCTTCTTTAAGGTTTGAGAACCTTCTGTCAAAATTTTCTTTGACTGCTAACAAACCTTCTATGTCTAAGTCTTCAAATTTCGCACCATTTTTAGTCACAATAGCAAACTTAACGGGTTCGATGTTCCAAACTTTGTCAAATGTAGACTTTTCAAAATGGTAGAAGTAAACATTCAAATAAGCGAATGGGTCTAGTTCTTCTTTAAGTCCTGACATATATTTGTTGACTGAAATATATTTCGTCATCTTTTCTATCGGATAAAAAAAATATTTTTTTATAAAAAACGTTTTAAAATGGTATGCCATATAGCTTCTTGAATTTGTTAAGACGTATTTGAACGCGTTTTCCATCTGTATCTCTAGCGTTTACATAAGCATAGCCTTCCTTAGTAAAATATACTTGTAATTTTCTATAGTTTACGCCGGTATAAAAGTAGAAAGAGTCTTGTTCTTCGCTATAGTAGTAAAACTCAAACGTATGCTTACCATAGTCTGTAATTTCAATTGCTTCATCTTCTAGTTCGTCGACAAATTCGAATACTATATCTCCAAATTTGCCTTTGTTCTTATTGTTTTCAGAACGAGTAACCCAACGCAAGTTTTCAAGTCTATTGTCATTTCTTATATGGTTTATATGGTCTACAAAAGGTAAATTGTTAGGATTCGGTATAAAATGAGTTGCAATGACAATATGTTTAAAATAGTTTTTTCCACTCATCTTCATCCTAGCATATCCGTTATTTTGCTCCCATTCGCTTAAAACTCTTTTTGTCTCTTTTTTTCTGACTTCAAATGACTCACAACAGTGAATTTCATATTTCTCATCTAACAAACAAGTTTCCCAACGGTCTTCTCCAACAAACTCAGCGTACATTTCAAATAAAATAAAAATATATATTTTTTATAAAATTTACTCAGAAAAATTTTTCTTTGTATATACGCCGTTCTGAACATCTAAAAGACTTTTGACATTTGCCAAGAATGTACGTTTAGAAGCTGCCATATAACCATACTCTTGACAATATTGTTTATACGAATCGTACAATGACCTTTCATCTAAACACTCAAAGTTAGTCTCATCTATAAACAGTTCATATACACTCTTGTTTGCTTCTAACAATGTTTGTCTTTCTTCGGTATGTGGAATTTGTCTTGGATTGAACTTAGAAATATCTAATGTCATGAAATATGAGAACAAGTGGTTGTAAAAGTTAGGTGTCAAAGTTTCTGCTAAGTCGTCAAAATATTCTGTATCTTGCATATGAGCTTCTGACGTTCTGACAACTACATATCTTCTGTCAGAACTTTCTAACTTCATCGGAACAGAATTGTTTGAAACCATAATGAAGTTTGCAACATTTTCACAAACTCTTTGGTCTTTATACTTTCTTTCAACAACTCCAACTTTGTCTGTTATAAGACTCTTCAAAGCATCTGAGTTCAAAACTTTTGTTGTATCTATACTTTGAAGTTCATTGCAAACTATAAGTTTCATATTCTCTATTGAGGAGTTAAACTTGCCACAGATGTTTTCTAAGTTTGTCATATTCGGATTCGAATAGCCCTCTAACAGTTTGCACAAGATATCTGTAAAGAATGTGTTCTTACCTGTTCCTTGTTTTCCAATTATAATGAGAGCAGTTTCATTTTTAGCACTTGGATGTTGTAAGATGTTTGCAAACCAACATAAGATATACTCATAGACTCTTTCGTTTCCATTGCATATAATTTCTTTGACATGGTCTAACCAAGCTTCTATAATATTTTCTTTCCATTCTACTTGTTCGTATTTATATCCAGTGAAGATAGAATAGAAGTTTGGAGAAGGTGTATAGAACTTTATACCTCGAACTGAAAAATCTTCTAACTTTGACAATAAGATATCCCAAGCATCTAACATCTTCATTCCAACTTGTACGACTTTTATTTTCTTAAGTTTCTGTCTACATTCTTGTTCTGAAACTATTGTTGCTCTTGGTTTGTTAAAGACAACATCCCATTCTTTCATGACATAACATTCTGGGGCAGAGTCAACATAAATGACTAAACGTTTCAAATTCTCGACTGCTTTGTTATAGTCTCGAAATGGACACATATTTCTGAACGCTTGGAAGTCATAAAAATCTGAAACGTCTATTCTGTACATTTTTATAAAAATAAAAAAAATATTTTTTTTATTCTTGACTTTGTTGTTGCATTTGTTCCATTTGTTCCATTTGTTGCATTTGTTGTTCTTGAGCTATTTGTTGTTGAAGTTGTTCTTGTAGTACAATACTTTCACCAGTTGCATCTTCCAATTCGAAACTTTCTGCCGTCATTGACAAATACATAGGACATAAAAGTTTTACAGGAACAAAGTTTGCGTCGACTAAGGTTAAGTTTATGTTTGCTAAAGTGTTTGAGTTTACTAAAGCTGAAAACTCTGCATTCGAATGAACAATAGGCAAACCAGCAGAGAAAGTGTTGTTTATACGCATGAGTATCTTTTGGTCATAGTAGTTTCTGTCGACATTCGAATAGCACTTTGAACCTAAGTTTGAAACAATATATAAAATAGGTGTACTTAAAGTCAATGGAACAGACATTCCTTGTATGACACCTTTTCCTGTTATAGGAAACTGTTGGTAGTAAAAACCAGATATAAGTTTTGTATTATAGCTCATATCGTTTATACTAAACTCAGTCGGACATCCAAACATAATGAAACCTGCTCTAGTTGCAGCACATGTTACATCCGTCCTTAAAGTATTAAATAAGTCAACAAAACCTGTTGGTGGTATATCTGAGTAAGTATCTTCAAAGAAGTATTTTTTACCATTCACAACAACAAAGTCTTCTGGTGTCAAAAGAGCAAAACAGGCTTTAGTCGTCATCGTGTTTAAGGTCAGTTTACAATATCGTCCTTGAGGACTTTGTAAGTTTGTTGTTATAGAATTATATGACTCAGGGTTTTTAGTCGTAATAGTATAAACCACTATGTCTTCTGCCATTTACTTAGCAAGTAAATTTTAATGAAATGTTGTGGTCGTCAATATATTTTATGACGTCTGGGAAACTATATTTTAAGTTCAACGTTTCACCTCCTTTCATAACGTATATCTTGTCAATGACATTATATGAAACACCACAGCAACTAATGTCGGGTTCTATTTCTTTGATGTTTATATCGTCTGCCTCTGTCAAAAGTTTCATAGTTCTTTCAAGACTTCATGAGGTGCAATGACATATGAGTTCACTTTTACAGGGTTGTGTTCGACCAAGTTTAACATTATACCCAAAGCCTGACAAATCTTCTCCTGAGTTTTAAGTTTGTCTTTAAGTTGTTGGTAGTCGTTTCGAATATCTGCAACAGAACTTAAGTCTCTGCTAACTTCAGGGTATGTTGGTTGTTCTTTTACAGGAACTATTGTTATACCATCTTGGTCTTCGTATGGTTTCCCCACTTCAACATCTCTTTCTTTGACATTGACAACAACACTTTGACTGTTTGTTTGAGTGTGTGAATTTAACTTCACATCTGCCACCGCCATTAAACCTTTTGAAACACTTACGCTTCTATTTTTCGGAAAATGACATTTTACTTAGAATAAAAAGATGGACGTATTCGAGTATCTCTTCGAATTGAAGCAGAACAAAGTTACACACACAAACAATACAAAAGTTCATTGATAGAATAGTTCTTTATACAAACAATGGTAAATGTTATAGAATAGCAATATTTGCTGAACCAAAATATTTCCAAAGCAAAGAAAGTTGGTTATACACTGAAATGGTGGTGAAAGTTCTTGACGTTGAAAAATATAACAACAAAACTTACAGATATTTCTAAAGGTAAGTTTATCTTACAATTTATATGTCAAAACTGGCGTACTGTCAATATTTGACGGAGAGAAGTCAGTTCAAGAAAACTTACTACCTGGCTGCCAAAATCTGCTCGATGGAAGCTGTCGTTATGCCAATCTGAGGAGCCCCAGCAGGTTTCATCGAACGAATCTTCAAAAGAGCATCTTCCGTGAAAAGTGCTATTGGTTTTGTAAACTTCTTTGCTTTCAATTCATTTGGACCGTCTCTGTCACCAGTATATTTGTATTTGAACTGTACCAACAGTTGAAATACCACCCATAAAGTCTTCTGAGTCAGCAAATGGAATGCCAAGCCAAAAGTTTGAACGGTCTCCATTTGTATATTGAGTTTTTTGACCTCCTGTATGAGTCCATACTTTACATATGGCATAATAGAACTTTTGCATTTCAGGGTTAATGGTTGTTGTGAAGTTGTTGTTAAGTAGTTCATAGCATCTAATGTCAAGTTGTATGAC